GCGGGGGGGGAGGGGGGTTGCTTGATAGTTAATAGTAACTCTCAATCAACCATAAGCTACAGTTATCCGGCATCTACCAATCCCCATGTGTGCCGGATAACTGGGAGGTGACTGTATAAGGCCAAGGAAATCTTCTTTTTAAGAGCTGCCTCCCGGCACTGGAACACTGTGGCTGTGTCCATTTAGGACATTCTTGATACAGACTCCCTGCTGTGTTGGAATATTGTCCTGAGAAGGACACCGTAGGCCAGACAGCCTGGAATAAGAGAGTCTCTATAGGGCAAAGGTGTGATTTGTAGCACAGAAAACGTGCTGGAAAATGTGGTGATTGGCACCAAACTGGTCCAATGATAACATATGTCACATGTGACAGATGCCATTTCATCTCTAAGATAGAATCCTTCTCTATAATATGACGTACTGATCAGCATTCAGCAACCCTTCATCTGCAATGCACAGACATTTATTTATTTTTGTAAATGTTCTAAATTGCACCAATAATCCATTTTTTGTTGTTGCCATTTTATTTGTGCATTTATCATGAACCGATAATACAGCGAGCTTCGTGTCCAGGGGTATCTGTGAGAAGAGCGCATGCAATGCTCATAGCTAAAGATTCTTTTATTTGTATTAGAAAAAAATAAATACAATCAAACTCATTGGCCAACAAAGACAACTTTTTTTTTTTCTTCGTAGTTATATATGAGCTATAATGTTCTTATATACTCATTGCTGCATTATCATACCATACAAACACTAGAGCAGTTAAGATCTTAAAATTGTATTCATTTTAAAGTAAAGGTGTAGATGTATTTTCTAATTCGTTTATATTTTAATCAGGCTTAAATGAAAAAAAATAAAAATAAAATATTTTATTATTTGTTTTGAATTAGGTAAATATTAAATATTGGATATGAATATATCGCATTTACCACCTTAATTTGAAGGAAATGTGTCTTTTTATTTTTTGATTATTTTTTATTTAAGCTTAAACAATCACAGTTACCACCTTAAAACGGTATTAATTTGAAGGAAAAGTGTATTTTTTTCTATTTTGTTTATATTTTATTCAGGCTTTAACATAAAAAAATTAAAAATGTCCTATTTGTTTTGTATTAGGTAAATATTAAATATT